GAGTATTTTAAAACCAAGGCCAACTAAAAAAAGTATTTAGAAAAATCTACTCCGTGAAAAAACAATGTTTTTGCACGGCCCTCTCTCTGGCCTCTGGGGTGGATAGTGGATATTGGTAACTGGATAGTGTTGCTGTGATGCTGCCAAAGGCTTTTTAAGGCAATTCGGGGCGAGTGGCAATTTTCGTGTCAGGATTTCATACAAAAGCAGCCAAAAGGCGTCAGAAAAATTGTACCAGGAAGGGGTACCCAGCTTAAAATCCTACGAATCGTAGGATTTCTAATTAATAATTTTGATCAGACCCGTTGTCCCTTAAAAATCAGGATATTACTTTTTATTCTATTTTTATTTTTTGGATTTACTCTGGCCATTTAGATATGAAGCCATAAATTACATAATAAATAGGACAGAAATGAGTAAAACCGGTCCAAAAGAGACTCATAAGTTTCACAAGTCGGTCTAAGAAAATTGAATTGCCACATATTTATTTCAATAAAAACACATTTTTAAATTTTGGTTTGAAAACATACAACTTTTTAAATATTATTTTGAAAACATCCTGGGTTGTAGGGTTAAATAGGCTTATAGGGTGCAATATGTACACTTATTACATTGTGATTTGTTTATTATGTATGTGAATTGATTGCTCCATTCGCTGTACTTCGAGATTGAGATGATTCATCTATGTGTGCTGTGTGTCTATCTGTGTAGGACTGATTCCTCTCAGCATTATATCGCTGACTGTTGTTTTGTCATGATGTGTAATATATAGGATCCCATCTGTTAACGTTGTAGTCAGCTCTAGCATAATTATCGTCTGCTGGTATGTAACTATCGTGAAATGTCGATTGTTGCTTTGCATCGATTGCATCTCATTGAAGCAATCCATCAAATCTGGCTGTGTGTACGACATGAAATTACTGTGCGAGTTTACAGATAGTTGTGTGTCAGTATGTTGTGTTCTTGCGTTTTGTGCATCTAAAACAATATTGGAAGTATCGAAATTCCTATGTTCGATATTCTGTGCATGCGCATATTCATGCAATGCAGGTAATTTCCTTGAGTAAGAATGTTGATTCTTATGTTGGATACGCCTTACCGTATCCGGTGAAGGGTTCCCTACTTCTAATGGATTGCCTGACATGCAAACTAATGCAAATTAATGCTAACTAACTATCTAAACGACTGTTTACAGTACTATTACACCTAGGTTACATATGGCTAGTAGTAAGGTTATGTGTGTTTGTTTGAATTGCTGTGTTTGAATGATTGATGTGAAACGAGTTTTAGACGGGTTGCCATGTTTCGCGTGTCGTTTTCGGCTAGAATTTTTCTGAATTTCATTTGCGACATAGGGCATAGGCCTAAGACTTTTCTAAATGGGTGTAAATAAGGGCCAAAGTCAAAGTCCATCAAAATCATCTTGTGATATGTAACGTATTTCTTTTTTGTTTTGATATTTAGAAAAAGAAAAATAGCTGTTCGACTGACAATTTCCAGAGGGCGTGGCGGCGTAGAGTCGTGGACCCGTGGACCCGTGGTTTTTAAGTAGCCAATGATTGCTGGAAGTTTGGAAGACGGGTCTGGAGTTCTGGACTCTGGAGACTGGACTCTGGTTTCTGGAAGTCTGGAACGTGTTTTTATATATATTTATACGGTTGAACAATAGGATTTGCCTTTTTTTTTAAACAAACAAAATAAAACTAATACAAAATTTTGGTTTCTTAATTTTTAAAAATAAATTAAAATAATAAAACAACTTATTTCACAATCTGGTTGTAAATATTAGATTTCTTTAGGTCCATTTTTAGTAGGCTATGCTATTTGTCAAAATGTATTTTCAATTTTTCATTGCCTTCTGAGTTCTGACTAGTTTAGAAGGCTATAAAAATTTGATTTTAGAAATATATATGTTCACTAATATTTTTTTTACAAAAAGAGAAAAGTTATAATGTTCTAAATATTTAGGAGGCTATGGTTCCAATTCTGATTTATTTCTATCAAATCACAAAAAAAAACAATGTATTTTCAAAATAAGGCGCTTGATAAATATAGGTTTAAAAGAAGACGATTCAGGGAATCAGGGATGGTTTTTAGAAAAACAAATCAGGGATGGTTTGTATTTCAAAAACAAAAATGGAGGCACAAGTTCAGAATTCTAAATTCCACTGACATTTATGACATCCTTATTTCCACTAAATAACGCATATTTGATTTTATATTGTATGTATGGAACCAAAAAAATAAAATAAAAACCAAGAGTACATATATTACATACTGATACTGTATGTACATTATATTTATAAAAAAATAGAAAATGAAAAACAATATTTATTACAAATTCAAAATGCAGTTGTATTTAACTCGTAAGTCGTATTTAAATTTTAACTCTCTTGTCAAATCGTGACTCGTTCACTGATGAGTACTTTTAAAAATCTATCGAAGACAGCACTTCGAGTTGATAAGTTGACATCCAATAGATAATATAATCCTAGTATTATCACGATGAAGTATTATAGATTTTTACAATATGTGTTTTTTTAATAAGCTATGAATATGTTTTGCCAACTGTAAGCAAAGGGAGGGTCGTTTAGGAAAAATTAGAGTCGTTTTCTGGTTGGCTAGAAAAAAATGCTATCTACCAAATGAAGAAGTCGCAATGGTGTCCCAAATCAGAAATCACATCTTCACAGCTCAAATTACAAATATCACGAGTTCACGACTCTTCTTGAGCAAATATGCAACAAGTAAGCCAATATGGAGGACGAATAGTGAAGAGTCAAGACTTCTCGTAACAGCACGAGATGTAAATATTCCCTCGAGCCATAGCCCACCAGGGCAGACACCAGTGCCACCACTGCACTACTACTAAATACTTAGAGAGTAGTAGAGAGTAGAGAGAGAGAGTTAGTCTCCAGTTCTCCACACACCACTTCCACAATCCACAGCCTACAGGCTACAGCAGGTGAGTGAGCCGTGAGGTGACTGAGGTGACTGAGGACTCAGGAGTGAGGTGACAGGCCACCAATCACACTCACAGTCCACAGTTTAAAGTCCACGCCCTACACTACAGTCACCGACAAACTGCAGGTCGTCATATTTTTTCTAACAGTTTTGTTTTTTTTAATTCTTTTACATTTTAATAGTAAAAAAAAAAACAAAAAACCAAAGGACTAAAGCCAAAATATGACTGTTGTCGAATATGTGTTTAAAAAAAAATAGACCAAAAAATACAAAGGCTCACAGACACAGTTCACAGTTCACAGGAAATACTCATATCACACTTTGACTTCACAGTTCACTTAGACTTCACTTTCCCAGACACACTGCGCACAGTTAAATACCAATTTTCATCTTTTTCCAAAACAAATGACACCCAAGACCTAAAAGAACAGCGACACCACTTTTTTATTAAAAAAAAATCACTTTACACTTACAGAAATATTCAGGATGACTCATCAAACATCAATGAGAATTCAATTAAAGTTCACACGACGTCATGTCCACGGTGATGGGGGTCGGAGACTCGGAGCCCCGGGGGGTCAGAGTTTGTCATCAGACTCGCGTCGAAGAGACGCCTCACGAGTCACGGACCACGGCCACGGGTCACGGGTATAACGGCTGATACCTATTAAATGCCTGACAGGATAACGCTGGCGCCTATTTATTTACACATTACTGCCCTACTCTCTCACACAAGCAAGGGAGAAGAGTAAATAGGAACTAGGAACTGAACAGAACTTTTTATTAGCATTACAAGAATACATACTGAAGTCTGATGTTTGTGGTCGACTGGGGTGAGGCTCTGGCACTTGTCAGTCCTGTATTTACTATATAAATATTTAGCCCTGTAATTATAATACCATTAGGAATCAGTCGTGTGGTCACTGTGGTAGATAGACTGGAGAGGGATCACATTCACAGGGGTCACTGATCAGGTCATCAGGGTCCAGGGACTACTAGAGTACAGGGACTTGAGAGACTGGGACGCTATGGAAAATATCAGATGATTTTTATGTGTTTTTCTTTTTATTGTTTTAAAAAAACAAAAGAAATACAAATAGCCATTTTGTTGAATTCAGAATGCTATTCGCCTAAAATTTGAAAAATAGAACAAATAAAATCAAAATCACAACCAAGTTTTTCGGCAGTTTATCTGCTATCATTATTTTTTAAATTTCGTTTTTGTACTCTCTCTACTCTTGAGAAGAGAAAACAATCAAAAATCAATTGGGCCTGTACGAAATTGAGGATCTATAAATATTGCACTCAATTTTGAGACTGGAATTGATTTATAGGTCACATAGGTTTTTGATTCTTTACACATTGCATGTTTCTATTATAGACGGCCCCGAAAAGAACTGACCAATGTTTTTTTTTAAATATGTCGAAATTGTTTGAAATTTCCAATACGTTTCCGATTTCCAAATACTAAATAGTTTTCTTCAATATTTGTTTGTCTTTGTTTATTTATATAAAAACAAGTAAAACATCCCCTTTAAAACGAACAGTTGTAACATGAATTGGCAGTGAAATTCCTTGTATGGCCCAATTAAATCGTTAACACTTACTTTTTATGGAGTAAATATCGACTATTTTATATAGATATAATTTCGCGTATTTAGGAGGCTTGGCTTGCCTCCGATATCCGTGGCCACCTCTAAAGTTCATAGGGGCGCGAATGACAAGGTCTGCAATCGCCAATCAGTGCAACGGGCTATATGGAATTACGTCAAACGGAATGTATTTCATTTCTGACTCATTCTGACACTCTCCGACCGCAGAGGCTTGCACTTCAAGGGCGCGAATGACAGTAGTTTGCAATGGTCAATGGAATTACGTCAAACTGCAGAGTTCAACTTCGATTCTATTATTTTATTATAAAAAATAATATATCGTTTGGTCTCGCTCTCAAGTGAGATTCATTCACAAGTCACAACAACATCGATGCAATCTATATAAATACAGGAGATTGCTTCAATTGTCTGGTCATATTTAAAAAAAGAATTGCAACGCACTTCTTATTTGATAGAGTGCATATTGAACGAATACAATTAGAATGAGTTTAGCCTGTGGCAAGGGGATATCGTCCCACCGCCCTCATAACCTACACTTTTGGGAGTCAGACGCGAGCTCTGCCGTAAAGGTGGAATTAAATGCAAAACGCTTCATCCGCGAAACAGCACTACAAACAGGCTCTACAGGGGTTGTGACGAAAGCCTACGATACACATCTTGGTCGACCAGTGGCAGTGAAGAAGATGAACATGAGCAGATTCCATGATCTCAAAGAACGGGAATATGTGATAGGGAAGGCAGTTGGCAGACATCCAAATGTGGCAACAACATACGACAAAGTGATCAATTTAAAGAGAGGTCAGGTGAAACTAGTTTTGGAACTTTGCGAAGGTGGTGATCTGGTGGACCTACTGTCCGAGAAGCCACACGGATTCGATCGGCGGGAATTCATACATCTCGCGCGAGAGCTTTCATCAGGCTTGAGACATATACATAGTAAGGGGGTTGCTCACAGAGATATCAAATCAGATAATGTTTGTATATCGACAGAGGATGGTCGGGCAAAAATACTGGATTTCGGAGAGAGTCAGTTTATATCTGACCCAGTGGACACTTTGAAGTCCGGTACTGTCGTGTATCTGGCGCCTGAATTGGTACACGCAATCGAGAAGGGCAACAATGTATACAATCATCAAGGACTGGATTTTGATCTGCTGAAGTCTGATGTGTGGTCGCTTGGTATCACTTTCTATTCCATGCTGACATCGCAAATACCATTTGCCTGTGCAAGTATGCAAGACTCTGGATATCGGAATTATGTGAACGGACTCACCTTTGGAACGCCAAAGTCATGGACTGTGGTTGACGAAGATTTGAAGTTTCTTCTAGAGCACATGTGTGAGCCTTATCCTGTACTCCGATGGACTATGGAAGAGGTTGTCACTTATCTTGCGGGTTTATGATAATTAATTATATTCCTTCTAAATTTAGTATTATTAGCATATATAAGCAGGCCGTGAGAACGAATTAAAATGTAGTACATTGTCATCCGTAAACTCTAGCCTTCTTTAAAGGTTGCTATCTCTGCAACAAATCAAACATATCTGTTGCAAACGGTCAGACCTTTACAGTGCACGAAGGGTGTATATACATTTGTGGAGATAGTCCAACATCAGGAAGTATAGATAATCGGTATTAGCCACAAGGGATCGGTACCGAACTATATTGGAAAACCACACCGAGAGATGGTCGGTGAACCTGTCATGTTGATATGTTTGGTGATATTATCATCCCATGGGAGGCTCGTGAACTGATATGACACTACAAGATGATCACAGAGGCGAGGACGACACTATCGTGAGACAGGATTGGAGAGCTTGGCAAGACAGGAAGGTGTCTACATAGGGTAACACTTTGTGGAAGATGTAGGTAAGTTAGAGATGACGAGAGTGCCATCTGGGGTGAGGATATGGAGTGCTTAAGAATATATACATATACACAATACAGTAGGGTAGACCAAGTATTGTTGCTGGAAAGCTCAAAGAATTATCTAATAAAGTGTTTGCAGACATACTCGGCTGTGAGCTACAAATCATGTTACAAAAATAAATATGATTCATCTTCCCTACCACTGATTGTTGGAACTTATATCTAAAACATGAAAAACAAAATACAATCCACCTATTTATGTATTATCTAACACGTGAAATACAATACAATATCTCAATTTTATTTATTTTGGGTGTTATTTTTCTAGAGAGGGCTTGTTGAGACTTGTTCCAATCGTAAATAAATACACTGTGGCTGTGACTGTGAGTGTAGAAAAATATGTGTTAAAACGCAAAAGCCTATAGAAGTGCGATAAATATTTCTGATGTCTATTCATTGTCATGTGTAATATCGATATTAAAAATAAAATTTCATGATTTACATTTAAAATAGTATCCTCCCGCCAAAGTACTCGCCACAGCAAAGATCGGCTAGACATCTCTCATCGCCATGGTCAAAATTGGGTTGGGTGCAGGGCTGGCTTACGCGCTCTTGCGATTTTCGCCTAAGCTGCCTTCCTTCGGTCTGAGTTGGTCTAAAGCTGGACGAAGAGATTTGTCTGCTGCCCTTTCCCGTAAGGTACGTTGAAGAACATTTATAGTATCATACTAGCTTGCACTGTATGAAGAGACCACTTCACAAAACTATTTGCCGCTGTCGCAGGCGAGCATTGACGGTTAGCCGTCCTAATAAACGATCTCTTGTCGGATCACATACTTATACATACGAACCTGTAAACCTAGGCGCAGTGTGCATACATTCACGCAGTATGTACGAACAAACCTGCAAAACAACCGGTTCACACGGTCGATTGTGCGTGTAGCGTGTAGTTTTGGTCGCTTTCGGATAATCACATCACTAAGTTAGAGATGCCCTGGTTCCTGGGCGTATGCTACACTTTTCTACTGTCAGGTACGTTCATGCACTTGTACATCTATAGTCGTATATTCCGCTGCCATAGGACGAAGTTGCAAGCCATTGCTCAACTCTCATAGTCATTCACATGCTCGAACATACACGAGCTTGTGTATACTGGGTTCAAGTTGCTGTGCACACACACACACACACACACACACACACACACACACACACAC